ACATCATCTCCGACCCCAGCTGATCAGTGGGATTAATGCCAGAAGCCAGAGACAGTTTGCTAGCATCAGCCAACTTTTATTGAAAATCCTGGCAGTTTCAGGAGTGCTGCAGTAGCTCACATCGAGTCCCAAGTTCTTTGTGCTCACAAAGGAAAAACTTCAGGCAAAAGTAAAGCTTCAGTGGCCCTGCTTCCCAAATTCAAGTCTGAACCTGCCCTGCAGTGTGCAGCATATAGCTCAGCACAGCACACTACAGGTTTACACATAAAACCAGTACTGCTGCGAGCTTTCTTACAGACTTTTAGTTGGCTACCAACCCTCTCTCCCCTCAGTTCCTTTCCTCGTCTATCTTCATATAGCTAAAGACCTAAAACCATCCCTTTTCTAGCCTCAGTCATCCTAAATACTTCAATAACACAGTACAACAGGCAAGAGCAGGGAAAAAAGCATATCAACCTAAAAAAGGTCGTGACTAGTGCCCTGACTGCTGATGAGGCACAACTTTCAAGCACATGAGCAACAAAAAAGCATTCACACAATGACTTTCAGGGGGAAACCGATGGCATTTGCTTTAAGTCTCCAGGCACCGAGGTGTGTATGCATCCAATGAACACCCTAACTACTCCAAGAAAGTTCTGTGCAACTGAACTTTGCCGTATCGAATGCCCCTCTGAGCGTAGCTGTTTGGCACATTCCTTTTGTAGTCCCACAGCCCTTTGTTTTCTATACTGATGTACAACTTTACATGCTGACTGAGCAGGTTGCCCTGTGCCCTCAGTAACACAGCTTGCTGAAAGGATGCTGGGCAGCAGCCTCAAGATGCAACAAGGCAAAATCCCATAAGAGAGTAGGAAAAAATTTCCCAGGGAGGATGGTCAAACAGTGGGATGTCCAGGGAGGAGGTGTGATCTGCTTGCATACACTCAAAACCTGGTGTGACAGTGCCTGGGGCGACCCAGCCCAATGCTGAAGTTACCAACTGGGGTCCCTTACAACCTAAACGATTCTGTGTGAGTAGCTGCTTTACTGGATGACCTCTCTAAGAGAAGGAAATTATACTCAAAATATAATCAAACATCTTAGGGTTATTCCAGACTTCCTACTGATTTTCTGCTCCACAGCAAATTGTTTTACTTTCAGTTTATTCGTAGTATAAACAAGCACCTTAAGATTGCTTCTAGCATTCACATCAGCCACTACAGGACAGTGATGAATGCAGCATAAATACTGAAACAGAGCTTAAAGAACACAGGGTACTTAATCTTTATAACATGTGACTTCGATTCAGTTAGAGTGGGTATTCTATCATTTAGCACCAAAAGAATTGCGGGAAGACATTATGGACCTGTGGTTTTATCTTATTCATGTTTTTCTTAAGACAGAGTTTAAAGTGGACCAATTTTCTTATTAGCTCTGAGGAGCATACAGCTTCATGCAGGAATTGAGGCAAGCAATTTATAAAGCCTTATCTTACATCACACAGGAAGACGCCAGCAAAGAGGATGTGGCTTAATGTACTGAGATGAATAGCCAAGGCTATAAAAAGAGCAGAAGTAGAGAAATGCATAAAATTAAGCGAGTTACTAGAGAGTGGGAGATTAGATATCATCTACTTCACACCACAGGAAAAAAAAAAGTAGCAAACTGGCTACAAAACAGGCTACTGGAAAGCCTAGCACTGGTGGAACATGCCAGATAATTCACCGTTGGGAGCACTGGCGAAGCCCACAATTTATAGGAAACCTGCAAAAGCAGCTGTGGTGGATTACAAAACATCGCAGTATTGCACAAGGCAGAGAGGCAGCAGGCCTTTATTTTCAATAATTTGTATTCTCAGGGGACAGAGGTGCCTCAGCAGCTGTCAGCCCATGCACATGGCCTGCCCTGTTCCGGGCCAGGTCTCGCAAGGTGCTGAAGTAGGATGTTCATAGAATCACAGAATGGTTTGGGTTGGAAGGGACCTTAAAGATCATCCAGTTCCAACCCCCCTGCCATGGGCAGGGACACCCCCCACCAGACCAGGTCGATGTTGACTGACTTCACCAAAAAATTACGCGTTTCTTAGTTGGTTTGTTTTTGCAAATAGCCATACCTCTTCACAAACCACTTCTCAAAGGCTCTCGACCGACTAGTCCCACTACAGGTTTACTACAGAGATTTTCAAAGCTTATTTTTGAAGCAGTTAAGAGAAAGATGAGGTGAATCAATTTGGTGCTGTATTACCAGGCCTTGCCAGGCACAAAACCCAAGGAGGAACCTGCAACATAAGCAGCCAAAAAACACTTCGCTGTCAAGCTGTACTTGGAACTTTAAGTCTTAGAAGCATAAAAAACCCAGTCGGAATATGCGAATGTCAGTGTTACACATCAAAATGCCAGCCTAGGATGTTTAAGATGCTCCTGCTGATTCACCAGTTAGTTTACGAAATCTTGCTGCTTATTAAAACTGGAAGCCTGTCTTCTTTCCTCTAAAGGAGCATGCAAAAGACAGGTTGAAGGGTACCCTGCACGCGTTAGTAGCAGGAGACTCACCTGAACTTGCTTGCGGAGTTTGCTGCATTCGTCTGTCAAAACCTGCAGCTGGAGACGGCTCTGTGCAGATTCCAGCTCTGCCTGTCTCCGCAACATCTGCTCCTTTTCTAAAGAGCTGAAGAACGAGAGACAAGCAATCCTTAGGACTAGGTATTACCTAGGACACTCCTCTGGGATGTCTACTCCCATCCCCAGACTTCACCCCAGTACAGGTCCCATTGAGGTAAATTCAGAAGGAGCAGAACATCTGGTACCACACTCACCCAGTACATTCACCTCGAGATGTTCTCGGCTGTGCAACTGCACTGCGTGACTCACCCAGTGTTCCACTAAAGGGCCACCTTTCTCCTTACCCTCTCCACAGGTGCTAATTTAGCAGAGGGGACTGAAAGAGGACACTCGCTTTTCTTTCACCTTTACCTTCCCTGCAGATGCAGGTCAGCAAATCCTACACCACTGACGTGCGTGTAATGCCCCATGGCAGCAATACAGCTGATCGTAATGCAGCAAGGTCTCCAAGCTGGTTTCTACTACCAGCAACCAATTTTGGATTTCAGCAAAATATAGCTTTATCAGAAAGACGGAGAGAGATGAAACCTCTGTGAACACCCATACAGAAGCCACATTACTACATCCCCTCGAGCCTAAAAGAGGGTGCACGCCATTCAGCAGCGGCAGTTCTGGTAACATACCTGGATTTCTCTTTCGTACGTGCTTTACGTAAGAAGGAATAGTTAAAGAGGGGAAAGAAACACCAGCATTCCTGTGATTCCTTACAATTATCTGGACGCTTGGTCTATAACACTGACAGCTGCATTCTGCACTTCAAATCCTGCAAGATTCCAGTTCTTTCCATAGTGCAGGTACCTTCCAAATAGCCATACCCAGCCTCGCATGCTCACCAGGCACAGAATCCTGTCATTCCCCTAGAGCTTCTTTGCACGATTTTTTTGTTGTTGCGTAAGAAAAAGGTGAAGCGTTATGTTTAACCACCGCAAACACATTCTTCACACAAGTACCCAGAGCCTGAAGGCTGGCTTTTTTCAACGTGAAGAACAAAACCCATGGAACCGAATTCAAGGCTACGTTCAAACACGACTGATGCGTGCGCCAGCATTCACGTTTGTCCCCGGCTCGTGGCTGCGGGGCACGCAGCCGCCTCGCCAGCAACTTAACCGGACTGACAGGCAGCCGTTGCTGTCTACCTCCCCACAAAAACAGGGGGCACAGGCAGTGCAGGGCAAGCGGGGAAGGGCTGCAGTGAGATCCTGAGACACAAGCAGCAGCTGGACAGCTATGTGTCTGTCGTGAGACACAAGATTTAAACATCTAAATGCCTCCTGGGATTCTGGGGAAAAAAAAAAAAATCTGATTTATCACTTGTTTTGCAGCGTTGATCCAGTAAAAAAAGCACAATCCTTCTAAAGGTAGAGTTCACTGCCTTCAGGCAGCAGCAATCTGGACAGAAGAGATATTTTCCCTTCTTGAGTGACTCCTCAATCATTTGTGATTAATAATTACCAGGCTAGTGAGGTTTCTGTTGAAAGAACAGCAGTACAGTTACAGACATCTGAAGATGACCCCAATTAAATTCTATTCACTGCAAGATTCAGAACTCTGATTTCTGCAGCCTTCTCATTTCAGCACAGTATCTGTTGACAGCATCTTACAGAAAAGAAATTAGTCCCCATTTTCATACCTGCTTTGATTTTTTTTTTCCCCCTCCAGTAAAAAGTCTGCCTTGAAGGTGGAGAGGGAAGCAGAGTCCCAGTAATGCTTGCTGACCTTTTGTAAGTAAAGCTACATGAAGAGTTTGACAAAGCAAGATGGAAAGTGATTCATACGAGAGATTACTCTGTTTAATGCATGCAGAAGAGATGGCAGAAAAGGTCAGCTATTCCCCCCACCCCATTTCCAACTCACTTTCCTCATCTAACGATGTATTAGCATTATACAGCTTTTTGGCAGCGACTCAGCGTGTTCTCCCGCGATGACATTTCGGGATGCAGCACAAGACAGTGTTTGCTCTTTCAGTGCCACAACATGCAAACTCAAGAACTCTGCTCCAAAAGACAATTTTCCTTCCGGGTGAGACATGTGCAGGATGGCAAGGCCTTGGTTTAAGGATCTGATGATCCTTAAACCATGATAATCCCCAAGGAACGCACAAATTGCTTTAGACAACACAGGAAATTAAAGGCCGAGGTAGAAGCCAGACTGCAGCTTCCAAGGGCATGCAGGCAGAGGTATCTTCACGTGGAGACGCCGTACCTTTTCATGCGTTCCTGTTCACTGGTATCGAGCGCTTTCAAAGTGCGAGCATACAGGATCACAATGTCAGAGCGCTTCGCCTTCTTATTGCACTGAAAGAAAAGACAAGTTCAGCTCATCTACATGAATTTAACTATCCAAACCACGCATCCCTACAAGTTGCTAGGTCTTATTTTGAAAAATCCTTCTAGCTTTGAAGGGAGGGGTTGTCTGTGTGAAAACAACGCCACAAAACCACAAACGTTGGGGAGATCCAAGACAAAACACCAGACCAACCTCTGTTTTGAAAACATCAAGCATGGCTGCTTGGCCAGCAGACCACGATTTAGGAACACCCGAGTATACTCCCAGCTTGGTTATTTACCTACTCTATCCCTTCAATCAAATCCTACAGGTCCAAATCCATAAAAGCATTCCAGTGTCAGTATGAAACAGACATCCCACTCATTTCAGTGACACACGCAGAGTCAGATATTTCAATGCCTTTGTGCATCTGGCTGGGACTATTCAGTACTTCAAATTCCCCTTAAAAACAAGAGAATAGCAGCTCTGAGTGGGGACCTGGAAGAAATTATGGCATCCACAAGCATACTACTCTGCAAATATACTTTGTTGATCAGAAAAGCAGCAGCAAATACTCAGATCAAGTAACCTCCGCTGAACCTTAAATTACTACGTGCACTTAAAATGCAGGGTTCTCTATTATTTAGTGCCACAAAGACATCACAGGCGATCAGACAGCTCCCCTCCCTTCGTAAAGAGCTGTCTTGCAGAGCAGTAAGTGGCTAAGGTGGCTTCCCTGGCAGCCAGCAGCTGCTGATGGCAGGATCAGGAATGCTGCAATTTCACAGTAACGTGCACTCAAGCCACTTAGCATGCAGGGCACCACGCACAGCAACTCTGTGCTTTTCAATTAGAGAACGTCCTGTCGCAAGGGGCAGTGGCTGAAAGCGAAGGGAAGATGATTTAGCCGCAAGGTTCTCCTCAGAGCGAGATGTCCTCCTAGGAAGTTTTCAGAAATTACAACCCCGGAGGAAAAAGAGGGAGCAAGCATTCCTTACGAGTTGTTAGGGTTCAAGAAGAGAACAGTCACAAAATTCCAAAGAGCAAAGATGCTGGGAAGGTCTCTGAGAATTCTGTCTGGGCCTGGAGCCGGTGAAGAAAAGCTTGCACGGGGTTGATGGGAATAATCAAAAGAAGGTTTGGGCCTTCGCTATGGCAAGAGTGACTCTTCAGGTTTAATCGCAGTGCACACCGACAGGAAGTTTCTTGTGGAGAGGAGGGAATCCTGCACAAAGTCAAGTACGACTACGGAAGCTCTCAAAATGACAAAGCCAAAGAAATCCTGGGCTTCCAGCCACCGACTTGCAAAGTGGCAGAACTGAATCCTATTTACAAGGCACTCGACCTATTTTTTGTCAACATTCCTTTCTAGGGAAAAGGAATAGGGAATGGAAGCACATCACAGACACTTAGACCTAATCGAAAGAGATCAGTATTACCCATGGAAACAAAACCGAGAAGAGCAACTTAAAAGGCAGATCTGCCACTGGCAAACGGCATCAGAGGATGCAACTCGTTTGTCAGACCGCTCTCTGCAAGCTGCCTCAGCAACCCGATCTGCTTAAAGGCTGCAAAAGCAGAAGCAGTTCAAAGCAAGATTAACCGACTGAAAACAGTTCTCAAACAGATTTCTTGCCCAATAGCATATTCTTTATCCTTAATTAATTGCTTCTAGGAATCCATCTGCCATTCCCACACTCCAGGACCACAGTACAGTCTTCTGAAACCAATTACAGGTTTAGCAATTGATCCCTCAAACTTCTGAGTTGCTACTCACAAATGCTTTACTTCAGGGAGAAAACCCAAGTCAGAATCCTCCCCTAAAAGCAGCGCTAGTTGTTCCTGGCCTGGTTACAGCAAAATAATGGTGATTTTTGTTATTTCTGACAGCAGGCAAAGGTGGGTTCCCCACACAGCAAGCGGCTGTAAGAGTTACAGTGCTCACGCCTGCACCAGAAGTTACCCGACAGCAAGTCCTTTCCACTGCGTGTAAATGTGTGTTTTACCTGGGGGCACTTCCCTGCCTGGCCCTTGAGCCACCTGTCAATGCAGGTGTAACCGAAGAGGTGTCCACAGCGCAGCGCTGAGAGACGGTGGTCGCCGGCGTTGGTCCACTGCTCAAAGCAGATGGCACAGGTATCCCCCTCCTCCTCATCCAGCACTGCAACGGGAACTGATGGCTCCTGTTTCTTTGGTGGAGTTCTCTAGGAGTAAAAAAAGAAAGACACACAACTTTTTTAGAGAAATACAGAATTTACCATATTTAATCTGCTTCTAAAAGCATTTAGGTCGTCTTACCTGCTTTTGCTGGACTTCAGTCTCTTCCTCTTCGTAACTTCCATGTTCTGCAGGAGCTTGAGATAAAGCTTGAGGTGGCTCTGCTTGGACCTGACTGGAAACTAAAGAAAGCGTAGCTTAGATGAACTGGCACATAATGGGGGGAAAGGAGTTCTACCAACTGATGGGAAATCATCAGGGCATAAGGTAAGCAGTGCAAGAACGGCACAGCTTCCACACAAAGCTGCAGATCCATGCCCTGGATACTGAACAAACACATCTGTGTCTACAGATCGGCTGATTTAAGGACACAACCCTGCATCATTATGCCCGGAGAAAGACAGACACCAGTATGAAGGAGTTCTTTTGCCGAGGGATCTAAGCACGCACATTTCATGTGCGTGCATTTACTGTATGCTATCTGTCCCTTCACCCTGACTTCAGCAGTTTTCCAGCTGGTAGTTAGCCCAAATATCATTTCTGCTGGGCCATATGTTTTTGTGGTGGGCCTCTGTTAGCCCTTCTGTTGAAGCACAGGCACAGAGAAATGCTACTTTTGAATTAACACCACTAAAAGAGGAGCAGAAATCACGGTCTCCCCATCTCCTGACAAAACAAAAGAGCTGTAAGTCACATTTAGCATTCGAGGCAGATATTTTTGACCCAGTGGAGAAGTATCACCTAACCCTAGCTAACATCAAAGCGTTCGGCCTCTACGGTTCTGACTGAACCGGAGAGAGTGGCTTATAGGAGCAAAACAGACAAGGGAATTCCAGAAAACCCAACAGAGAGCATATGTTTGCACAGTACTAGACAGCACTTAACAGCTTGGGCTCCTGTCACGTGTAAGACTAGCTCAGAGCAAGCGGAATGGATCTGTTCAAAAGATACCTCGTACGTGTACCCTCTAAAAAAGGTGTCACGGTGGGATGGCCAGGTAAAACCAAAACTGAGGGCAGAGTAAAGCATAAGGACACTCCTTAGAGACTGAAGTGAAAACATCATCTTGTTCATATTCCCTGGGCATCAATAACCTTGACTAGCATGTTAAGCATCTGCCACTCTTACATAAACCACGGATGTTCATCACAGTGTCACTGAGGCCTATGAACATGAGTCTGGATAAAGGACTGTGAGCCAGAAAAAGGGGAGGACAGAAAAAGACAGGCAAAAAGCCCACTGTCCTACGTATCTCTACTTCCTTCCTGTCCTAAGAAGCTACAGGAATAAAAACAAACTGAAGCAGACTGAGATCCCAAATAAATAAAAAAAAAATACAGAATCAGATCCTTTTCTGAAAACTGAAAGCACTGCTATCCCCAGAGATGTAACTTCATGTCTTCATTAATATCCCTTTATAATACATAACAGAGGAAGTGTTCTAGGTACTCCTCTCTGCACGTGAAGTGATTCTGAACACTTCCAGGATTACTTACAAGCAGAAGCCTGCAAACAGCAAAAAGATCCTATTTAACGTTAGAGCAGCAATCACCCATTGCTGCCACTGCTCTTAGGAGCTGCTTGCCAGAAAGCCTTCTGCTGGCAACCTGCTCCTGTCAGCTGCGGGCATCATCATCTCTTAGCACCGTCTGTCGTGGAGCTCCGAAGGAATTCCCCACGGAGTTTTGAAGCAGCAAGACGAGTTTCTGCACTAAGCCTTTACACAGCTCAGACAGAGCACAAACCTGCCGAGCTGTCCGCTGGAGCTGTCTCCTGGGCGGTTGGTAGCAGGGGTGCTGCAGCCTCCACCGCCTCCTCCTCCTCAGCAGAACTGCTGCTGTCAGAGTCACTCACTTCTATCGTTTCACCCGAGCCGTGTTCCTGGCTGTCCCTCACAGCTGAGGGCTCCAGATGTGGCGTTGCTCCTGTTGCTGGCTCTTGAGTCCTGCTGAGCTGAAAGTAACTGTCCAATGCTGCCCTAAGTCCAGAAAAGCAAGAAATAAAAACCACAGTTATTTCAGGTAGGCTCAAGGCTCAGCATGTTTCTCCACGCTTTTCTCTACAGTTCCTAGGCTCTGACTGCACCAGGAAGGCACCAAAGGTATCCAGACCTTGTCCAGTCAGCTGGGCAATCCCGTACCGTTGTCCACTTTATGATCAATCAGGAGGGTCACACAACAACCACTGATTTTGCTCAGGTCAAAGAGCATGTCCTCATTACAACAACGGTATCGCCTTCTTCTGGGGTAGGGTTGGAGAGAAAAGCAAAGTAGCATTGGTCACCAATAAGCCTGAGGAGCTCCTGCTCAGAAGTTCCAACCCTAGCACAGGCCTCGCTCCCACTGGTAACGGTAGAGGCACGAGGCTGGTATCATAGTCCCATTCCACTGACCGCTTTGTGCCTTGTCTTTACATTTTCCCTTTTGTTTTCCACTGGAACTTCATTCCTGGGTAGAAGCATCTTCTTCTCTCCCCCCCTCAGTTCAGCTGTCATCTCAAATCACCCTTCAAACTCACAAGTTTTTCAGGTTGCCTTCTAGCCCCGAGAACTACAGCAACCTTCACGCACAATCCAAGGGCAAACCGTACAGTTGTGTTTAATCGTCTGGGAGTCAAGGGGCTCTTGGTCTCACTGGATTTAACAGCAATGCTCCACTTAATT